TGCAAAATTATAATTAATGATATGATTTAGCAGCCCATTAGTTTTGCAGATATTGTAAGTTTTGGTTACATATTACATTAGGATAACAAACCAAGGTTTTCATATCATTATAAAACATGTTTCAATAATACATTGTTGTCTTCATCAGGATAATTGGTCTAAAATTATCAAATAATAAAGATGGTATGATTTCAGTCATGTTTAAAGAATCTCTTTCGTGTTCTTACATTATTGAATAAAAAATATAAATGTGTCATAGGAATAGGAATTTTATTATTAAGCTCAAATTATCACTTGGATGGGCTTGCTATTCAGCTGTTAGCACAATGTTGTAGATATATTAAAACCAGATAGAAGTGACAACAAATGTTTCTTGCCAGAAGTATATACATGATGCTGCTTCTCTTTCACATTATTAGAAACTTATCTTCTGGCAAAACTTACACAGTGCTGAAGACGAAAATATAAAGTTGATGGCAAAACCAGAAACTTATTTGCACAGTATTTTCTACAATTGTGGAAACTGTAGATGTTCAGATTAAAAATGTTACTGCTAATCATGAAATAAATTTTGAATCTTGTCATTGGCTATGGGAATATATAATTTTGGTTTAATCAAACGAAGATGTAGATCCTATAAATTTAAAGATCAAGTATATATTGGCTGGTGAAATTGTTGAATGTGAAAATAGCAATCTGTATTAATACCAATAATTCCCATTACAACAACCGCATTGCCACTTCAATTTAAGATAGCATAGTTTCCATTATAAGCTTCACTTGGAATGACAAATAAATAAAGGGAAACTTTAACAGTAGTGGGAATTTATCTTGACAGGCAATGATTTGCACATTGCAAAATATATGGACCACTCCAGTGTTAATATTAGTGTTTTTTATTTTTTATTATAAATGAAACACTGCACAGAAAACATTTTTTTCAATTAACTACACAAGTACACAACTCAAACGATATACTAACATAAAGAACATAAAAACCTAAATATGTATACTTAATGTTAATAGTAATTTAAAATTCAGTTCTCTAATGAATAGAAGAAATCAAGAATTCTAGTTTTCTTATCAACACATCCACCAACGTAGACATAACTTCTTGTGCCCATAATCATAATGTAAATGGAAGCAAGAAAATTGAAAAAAAGAAGGCCTTGATATCGAAAAGTTTTGACCAAAAATCATATATAATAAACATCTAGGCAGTTTTCACACTTAAAATTTGTGCAACTTGAAATACTGATAAATTTTGCAGGCACCACAGTAACACAGAAATTTTGTATTTAATACATACATTTCTTTTATATACAGTAATTTCTTATAGTGTATGTTATTGTTGGTTAACCGATTTTTAACCACATTTTGCCTTTAAGCTGATTTTTAGTATGAATTAGGATTTGAATATTTGTTCCACAGCCCTCCAAATGTATCCACAAAATACAAGCATGCTGAGATTCAGCAAAATACATTCATACTCATTCACAAGTACAATTAGCAGAATGAAGAAGAATTAATAACCAAAACACTGGACATCTAAATCATCGGGACTCTTCTGGATTGCACATCTAAATCATCATTGGCAGAGATGGTGGTGTTGTGGTTGAATTGAACAAAGAAACTTACACGCTCATGTTCAAATGCAAGATCAGAAAAACATTCTCGCTGGTTGAGATCATTTTCAGAAGCGTAGGTTTGGTCAATGAGGCAAACTCCAAGCAAGGTAATCCATTGCAGGCTAATTCAATATGTGTATTCAAGTTCAAATTTGTGAAATTTTGGCAGGTTCAAGCGGTACACTATATAAGATTATCAATGTTTCAAATCAAATAAGCATTTGACAAACAACACCAATTGCTTAAGATCATTAATGTGTAATCATCCACAGTGATCATGTCACCACAGTGACCCTGAAATATTCAGTATGAACAACTAGGTAAAGCCGCTGTTCATTTTATTTGTACAAGACTGACAAAAAAAGGCTATGTTATGACCGGCCTTCACATTTCAACAATTTGAGGAAAAGTTCCTTGGCACTTGTGCAAAGCCACTAAGGGAGTATGGCATGCACCTGACACAACACTTGGCACACACAGGTCTCAAACAAAATTCCAATTTTTAGCTGTGAGGCTTAGAAAAATATATGATGTGTTGGACACTGACAGATGCAATTGCAACTAATATATGTAATGATAATGCACAACATTGCCAGTTACTACCCGTTCACAAGAATCATGCTATCATTACGACTTGACGCTCCATAATGCAGCGTGTGGAAAGTCAATTTCTAAATGCTGTAAAGGGAAGGGTTGCTCCAATCTACACATTACCTACAAGTATTCACCACATATGGATGAGGAAATGGTTAGATACAAATGTCAAGTAGCATCTAGTCACAGTTTAGTGCCGGGCCACAAAGATTTCAGTTGTTAGTGTTACAGGTATGTACAGAATCTGTTAGTATGTGAGAGCAGAGAGCCCCAGTGTTACGAGCCCTCGCACTTAGAAAGGGAGGGGTGGATTCGCTGCTTGATCATTTTGAGCCAATTCCTAGCAAATCAGGTATTTATTGGCACAAAGGGTAAAATAAGGGCATTTGCACATGAGAAGAATGTTTTAATGTCCGACTGCTACCAGTCGATATGGGATTTTTTCCGCATCTGCAGCGAGTACCTAATACAGCGTCTCAGAATAAATGTTACTAATTTTATGGGTGTATGGACAGGTCGAAAATGATAAATTTTGGCCAAGGAACGTGTGGTGAGAAACGTTATACAACCAAGCAACATAGTGACATTTGCTTCATCTTGTCAGGCAGCCCCTCTTGCACTCGGGAGGTCTCGATCTGACGAATCATAGGCATTTCGTTTCTCTGCCGAACATAGCATGTGGGTTTCCAACTAAACACATATGTAACTTGTGTTACGAAATTTTCCACCACGTGTTCCTTGGCCAAAAGTTGTTATCTTCGACCTCTCTACACGCCCTAGAAGCTTGTAACATTTATTCTGAAACATACTGTAAGTTCGTCGCGACAGTCGTGAGAGGTACGCCGCTATAAACAAGTAACCACCAGGACAAGCCTGCCATTAGGCCAGCCCGGGCACACGAGTTCCCGCAATGCGTCAGGTCGGTGCTGCGAAGACCAGCGTCTTAAGAGGGGGGAATGCACCCTCTCCCTAATGGAACGCGCGTCTCTCTACTCTGTCTTCGACGCAAAGAATCACTTGTTTTTTCATTACTAATTCCTGTATAACGTACGTGAGATGATTCACGTTTCTAATCAACAAAGACCTTCTCACGTGCGGAGGAGGGAGAGGAGGAAGACGCCCTAGCGACGGCGGGGAGCACGCATTTTCAAGGCGACGATGCTCTGAATCCAACTCACGAGAACCAGACACTCCCCTGGAGTGGCTCGCAACTACATCTTCCCGACTTGAAGCGACGGACCGTGCACTGCGCAGTACTATCGCCAGTTTTTAAATAACATCGAAAGCTTTCACGGCCGGAGTCAATATTAATTACCGTTTCGAGGTTGATTCGACATGGTCCAATTGGCTTTGATGGGAACGTTTCGTCCACGGCTGCGGTGGACATCTTCAGTCGTCGTCCAGGACTCTTCGCCCGAGAACCCTGCGCCTCCGAAGATGTCCACCGCAGCCGCCCACGCTTGGCCCTTCAACACCAACTGGACCACGACCTATCAGCCCGAAAACAACACCATCGCCTATGGTCTATAACCTTGTGGGCGGATTCTTTGACACAATATCAAGCAAAGTAGGGAGGGGAGGGGACCGGTGAGTAAAACGTGGAAATGATTCGCGTTCTTTTCACGAACGTAGGCTAGCTTGTGCAGGGGGCTGTTGACATCCCAGTTATTTCTGTCATTTCGCCAACTGCAGAATGTTCGTATGTAATCGATGTGTTCATATTGCTAGAATTCAAGGAAAGTACACATGACAACTTTTATTTTAAGAAAACATCGTGAGCCGCCACCGTCTCCTTGTTCCGAAGTATATCAGAAACCCCTTATATCAGAAGAACGATGCTCGAGGAAATTCATCAGCGACAATGGAGTGGGTGAACCGTGACGTCCTTGCTTAGTGTTGGGTATTTTATAATGGTGGAATTGTAACTCTGCTAGGAGCTTCGATTTAGAATTTGGCAGTATGTCTGTTGTCTGTATCTTGTCTGCCCATTATATCACTGCCCATATCCCGTCTGCCCACCTGTCTACTGACTGAATGAAGGGTGGTCTAGGTGATTTACATCTTCCTTTCTCGTCCCCACACAGGTACTTGTCGCACACTTTTCCTTGGCCCCCAGGCTTACATCACAGTGTATTCAACATCATAAGCTACAGTTCTCGACCCATGCACAATAAATAACTTTACACGAGGTAGAATTCGACAGATGAAAGGAGGAATATTCCAGTCTTCACTACTAATTTTTAATTGGGAACAAATTTTTCTTAAAGGCTGATATTTCTTGTACATTTAAAATGTGGACAGTTTTTACAAGAAAACTGAAAATCTGGAAATTAAAAAAGGTTTTCTACTATACCAAAAATCGAGACTCTGATAAGAGTCCAAAGTAAACTTTCAAAGAATATTCCAATCCTTTAAAATACATCCAATCAATTTTAAATGTGAAAAGATTTATCACATTTTCTCAGGGTGTTGGGTATTTGTAACCAAGTACTCAAATTGTTCCTCCTCAGCTTAGAAATACAACTACACTGTTTAGCTGTATCTCTTCAGTTCTTAAACATTGCAATACTTAATTTGTCTTTTTATTTTATCTTAAACCTCACATCCAATTAAAATGTACGTCAAAAGATGGTAGAATACCTCCCTATGCCTTAGAACACCTCCCTAATCATGAAGAAGAGGAAGGCAACATTAACAGACTAAAGAAAGAAAACATGGAAAATAAAATCTACCAGTAACACTCAATCACTAATTACACAAGAATAAAGGATGGCGTACCCTACTCAACAGTGAGTGAAGACTGTGGAGGCATGGAAGGGGGAGCGCGCCAAACCCAGCTGCGAGCGACTTGTTCCCATCACACTCTGAGCGCACGGCCTAGAAGGAAGTAACACAAGATCCTCATTTTCAGAAAAAAGAAACATGCAGACACTTTACCATAAGAAATAAAAATTCCAACATATATCCATCACCCATTAAAGATATTATAAATTTATAAATAATTTATTGTGAATTTGATTATTTCACACAAGAAATAGGACATGCTATTATGGGAAATTAAGACCCAAAATTTAAGTGAAATACCTGAAATTAATATCAGTAAATTCGAATCATTCTAGAGTAACAAGTGACTAATAACACAAAACTAATACTTCACAAGAACAATTTCGACATACAACCTGTTAAAATAATACAATTATGTTACCTAATAAGCACATGAAAATCACACTTACATTCTGTATTTAGTGTTAATGGGGATTCACATAACGTGTGTAAGTACAAAATTTAAATTACTGAACATTACACATGCACATAATATAAATAATGCAACTCAAAATTAAACTTTAGAAAATATGTTTTTCTAAATTAGTCATATTAAATAATTGCATCAATTCTGTATCAATAGTATCACTAATCAATTGGGTTCAGTTTTTAAATCCACAGAGCACATTTGAAATTAATTTTTACTCAGTCTTTCAGAAATCTCTCTTCTAATTTTTGAGAAAAATATTATTGAAAATAATTATTTATTTTGAATTTCACATCATACATTAAACAGAAATAGACTACAATGGGACAAATCATCAATTCTTTAAACAATTGTAAGTTCAATTCACTAATTGTATTTTATTCCACGGTAGCCACACATTTCCTGAAATTATTTTCTCAGTTTTCCAGTGCTCCCCCTTCCCCGATAAGATTTCAAGAGTTTTTCAAACAAATTTTTAAACAAATATTAAAGCACGCCTGATACTGATTTGTCAGGTCTCTGATTTCACCACAATAATATACAAATTAAAACAAAGTTCTTAACAAATAACAATTGAGTCATTTTTTTGCACACACAAGTTTTTGTTTGACTAAGTTGTTTAAGGAATAGTAACCATTTGTATAACTGTTTCAAAATTTTTCCCAACTTCCAATGATTCGTTCACAAATTTCCTGATTTTTTTAATGACTTTTCCAGAGTAATGAAGTCTATGATTTTTCCCAGTTTTCCAAGTTTTTCAGAAGGTGGTCACCCTATTATTCAGAAATACAAAAATCAGAAATAATCAATAAACTTGCATGTTTCTGATGGTTTTGAAACTCTTTTACAAAATTTCATTACCTGATAAAACAAAAATTCTAGAGTTTTTCATGAAAGTAATTTAATTTGTGATAACATTTTGATACCATTATTTAAATTAATTCATCATTTTGTAAATGGTGAATTTCATTCACTTGTATTTTGTATTGTACTTCTAATGTGATATATATATTTGGAAATGATAGTATTTATTGAAAACTGTTTTTATTTTACTGATATTTTGTCAACAGATATATTTCATTATTTTTGTAACTGATACATCCACACACATCCTCTTCACAGTATATGAAAATATAAGAGCAAATAAATGCAATAAAAATAAATCTTGAGATTGAACAATAACTACAGCTTTGTGGAATCTGGATCCAACTAATTATCTCCGATTTACACACACAAAAATGTTTAAACATAAGGGAAGAGAATATGACAACTTAAAAACATTTAAAATAAATCTGATTATTACAATCTGATCTTGAAAGTAATTTTTTCTAATTTCTAAAGGAAATAATTATTTTTCTAACCTTTTCTGAAGTAACATTTACAAAATGCGTAACTATTTCATAGAATCTTTGGTTTTTGCCAATACGACATAGTACAATTAATTTGTTTTTGAAATTTGAAATGAATTTTCAAAAAACTATTTCTATTAAAGTTTTATTTACACATTTGTCAAATTGAGAGCCAAAAAACAGAACATTATTATTTAACTAAACATATTTTACATTTCAAGAACCCTTTTCCCAAACACATAGTATGTAATGACTAAAGCTTGGCCTTTTAGCTTATTATAATCTTTTGAATGGAATGGAAGGTCAATTACTCCGCATCTCTTTTGGGAAATTCTGTCTGTTTTTTTACCTAAAAATGTGATTTACAATTAAGATCCTTCGAACACCACTTTTAAAAAACAGATCTTTAATGCGTTTTGATTTTTTTGCATTTAATTGGAGTTAAGTTTGTTATTTGAAAACCTTCTGGAGTAGTGTTCAAGGAATTTACATACATAAATTGTCAATAACACTAATTATAGTCAATAAACGCCCAATCATTAATTATTCATTGTCAATAGTCAGTTACAATATTAATATTCAAATAATCTTTACACAACTGATATAAAAATATGTAGCTCACATCTACAAGAAATATTATGTACAAACTATTAGCTATTACAGATAGTGTTTCCATTCACCATTTACATGTTACCCATTTACTAAATATCCTTCCCAACAGTCAACAACTAGCCTTTGAGATAGTTTGTATATCAGCAATTTTCAAGTATTTCTTCTCGATTTCAATGAGTGAAGTGCGAGTACATCTTAGAAGATTGTGATGGGAAGAAAGTAAGGATTTCACATAAGACTAAAATCCCATATCATGCTTTGATTTACCAATAATGACACCACTTATAGAATGTAACATTTGTGAAGAATTTGGTCTTCTGGATTCAAGGCAAATTTGTTGATTCTTATTTCTTCAAATCTTTCGATGATATGTTACTAATTTAAAAGTGTACAGTATATGATTGTAGATGCTCTACATAATTTAGTTCCAGAGAAAAGGTGCACTAAATATAATTTATAATTTTATTCAATTTAATCAAAACAATTGTCACATATTGTTAGCAACACATTCCAAAGTTTACTTCCATTATGCTCAAGTAGCTTTCATTTCAAATAACATTATAAAAAATGTCTTTTTCTTTAAGAAATTGAATCCTTGAATTGATTCCTCTTCGGAACACTTTTCTAGATCCACCAGTGTTACAGAAGAATCTTTTTACATTTTTTTTGCCAGCACGTACAACTGTTCTCATAGTAGGAGTAGGTCGACAATTGTCCACAATGTTTCGCTTTCTGAATTGAAAATGGTGTACATAGTAGTTCAATGACTTGAGCGTAATATTTACTTTAAAACACATTTAAACCCAAAAATATCTAATGAATGCACAACTTAATTTAAAAATAAAATAATAATTACTTTGCAAATATTAACTAGTTAATAATGAGGATAAAAATTGAAATATCCTTCGCCCTTGGGCTCAAGCAAAGCCTTTTACTTCCTCACCTACTACATACTTGCATAATGAAGAGTAAGTTTTGAAATGCAGCAGCGTAAAGTAGTGGCTTTTTGCAATAATAACTAGTTTTATGTAGCCTGATATTGAAAAAGTTAATAAATCTAGTTTCTATATTTAATAACCAACTTCCTATAACACTGTCTAGTCATAATTGAGGTCCTAGGCGCAGAAAAGTTAATTGCCAGCAAACAAATTGACCATCCGTCTGTCCATCCATCTGTCAACATCACTAGCACCTGGAACTATAGGTCAGATTTTTCCAAAAAGAATATTCCCTGTTCAATCTTGCCCAATTCAAAACCTTGCGATTTTGAAAAGATTTGTTTGAATCTTGGCGGTATGTAACGAGGCCCCTGGAACATTTTAAAAAATTGCACTAAAACAGCTTCAAATTTTTTCTTCAAATTCCTTGCAAGAATAGGGTATACTTTTAACAATGGAAAATGTCCAATTTTCCATTGCTAGTAATTTCCGTGCCATTATGTTTATTGTAAATGGGTGTTTACTCTTCAGTAATATTCTTCAAGTCATATTTCCATTCTGATTGAGAAAATTTTAAAAGGTTTACATGTTTTTATTTAAACTCAATTTTAATATTCATATAAATATTATAAGTTAAACATTTAAATATTATAAGAGACAAAACTCAATGTTTCCAGTAGAAAGAAGAATATTGTCCATTGTAGAGTTAAATGTTCAAATATTTTGATGCTACAAACATATTTTGGATTTTTTTGATATGAAAAATGAACTTCAGTATCAAAGTTATTCAGATACATTGATTCAATATTAAAAAACACATTAAAGGTTGTGTATGCATAAAAATATCAGTTTTAATTATATTGTTGCATTTGTTAAATAATTACATTGCAAAGCCCTAAAACATTTCCAATTAGTAGCATCAAGTAATTAGGTCTTGAGAGACAGGGGCTTGAAGCAAGTGATCCGAAGTACGTGGACACTTAAGCCTGTCGGTATGAAACCCACATAGGACAAGAAGTTTTATTTAATGCGAAGGGAACATTCCAAATACCTTGTGTATTACATCAACACCATAAACCTTCCACTCTCTCTCTTGGCATGACAGGTAAATGTGTGTGATCTATATGTTTAATTGAGGACCTGGATCCCATATACAGAATAATGTTACAAGCACTGAGATCGGCCATGGAAAACCTTCTATAAATATGTGAAGATGCCTGACCTACATAAGTCTAAGCAATGTTTCGGGTGCTCTTCACCACAACTCAAAGTAATGGTAGATATTGTGAGAAGTCATGGAAATCTTTTAGACACAGAAGGGAATAGATAACTAACTAGTACTAGAAGGTGTGCACCATTTTGTTGCTTCACTAGTTTTCTTCTCTCAGGTTTTTGGGTTTCACAGCAAGCCTTGAGACACCAACGGAGAAAAGTCAAGGGTGTATTTTGACATTAGCAAAAAGAAGGCTATGTATAAGTTGTATTTTGTACTTTAAGGTAAATTAAAAAATGTTGAAAAAACAACACCAATTCATTGCAATTTGTAATATTACACTTGATGTATGTTTCCTGAAACCTTGTAACTTTAATTATGCGACCATCTATATTTTCACCAAAATTCACCAGAACAATTGGTGACTGTTTACAACAGGAGACACTGAACATATTTTCTAAATTTTACGTTGTAGAAATCCGTCCCTTAGTAAGAACATTTTTGAGTGTTTAGTT